AAACCCATGCAAACACGGTGAGAACATGCAAACTCCATAGAGAAATGCCAACTGGCCCGCCTGGTAGTCAATCCAGCTACCTTCTTGCGGTAAGACGACAGTGCTAACCACTGAGCCACCGTGTCACTCCTGACAAATACTCATTTTCTGAAAAAAGTACAACATTTTTAACCTGATATAACATTACACTTTTAATTGATCTTTTTATACATTTTACTCAAACCAACACGTAATTAAAATCCAAAGAAACTGAATTTTCAAGTATCTCCTCGTTTTTCCCGTAGGCTTTATACATGTACAGTTAAACCAGAAGTTTACATACACTCTAAAGAAAGGAACATAACCATTTTTTAAATGACTGATGGTAAATCATACAAAACATTTACTATTTTAGGACCGTTAGGATTACCTAAATGACTTACATTTGCTAAATGCCAGTATAATGAGAGAACTTTTTAGGAGAATTTTTTTATTAATTTTTGGATGGTCAAAAGTTTACACACATTTCCTTGGTATTTTTTTTAGCTTTGCTTTTAAACTGTATAACTTTGGTCAAATGTTTTGGGTATCCTTCCACAAGCTTCTCACAATAGTTTGCAGGAATTTTAGCCCATTCCTTCAGACAGAATTGATGTAACTGAGACAGATTTGTAGGCTTGCACAAGCTTTTTCAACTTAGCCCACAAATTTTCTATAGGATTGGTATCAGGGCTTTGTGATGGCCACTCCAAAACATTCACTTTGTTGTCCTTAAAGCACATTTAAACTAATTTGGTTGTATGCTTAAGGTCATGGTCTGTTCGGAAGACCTTTTTGTGGCAAAGTTTTAATTTCCTGGCTGATGTGTTGAGATGTGGCTTCAGTATTTCTACATAATGTTCTTTCTTCATGATGCCATCTATGCTGTGAAGTGGACCAGTCCCTCCTGCAGCAAAACAGCCCCACAACATGATGCTGCCGCCCTCATACTTCACAGTTGGGATGGTGTTCCTAGGCTAGTAAGCTTTCCCATTTTTCCTACAAGTGTAACAATGGTCATTATAGCCAAGCGGTTTGATCTTAGTTCCATCAGTCCACAGGACATTATTCTTTTTCCCAGTGTAAGGAAGCAGTGGGTTTGAGGTTTTCCTTAAGTACTATTCTACAGTTAAGCCTCCAATTAACTCAAATGTTGTCAATTAGCCAATCAAAAACTTCCAAAACCTTGACATCATCATCTGAGCTTTTTCAGAAGCAGAATAATCTTATTGTATGTAAACTTGACTATCAAGAAAAGTTATAACAATTTCTCGAAAAATATCTCACTCATTATTCTACAATCAAGCATTACAGAAACTGATTTGATAATCCTAACTTACCTGAAAAAAAGAAGTTTAGTCACATTAACATCTGACTTTTTAAATGGCTATGTGCCTTTTTATACAGTGTATGTAAACTTCTGGTTTCAACTGAATATGTCATTTAAAAAGCAGACTGTGTGCACCAGTCATAATTGAGCAAACAATATTGCAACAGTGTAAAAATATGTCCAACAAGTGGCTCGAAGCAACAGTCCATTACAGCAGATATATCTGGGAGCTGATGAATGTGTGTGCTGGGTTGTAAAAAGTGTGCAAAATCCACTGACATGATTACTAAGTGTGTTGCATAAATCCCAACTGTCTCAGGAAGTTCACACCACTACCATTTAGCCATTGCTAGGATACAGAATTGTGAGCTCATGGCTGCTCGGGCTACTCTCTGATAGGCTGATTTCTCCCTCTGCTCATGACATCACGTTGTTGCCGGGTGAAATTGAACTCTGGTGGAAAGAAATAGAAAGAGAGAGAGAGAGAAAAGACATAGTCAGTTTGGGTTTCTCTGCAAGATACATGCAGGATTTTCTCAGCTTTAGGGTTTAACGTTTAAGGATCACCATGGAATTTGCTGACTTAATATTAGCCTTTTCAATGAATTAAAAACCTTGAACTTTCTTGAGCAGAAACCTGAAGTTTGGTGATGTTTTGCTATCTTGTTGGAACAACAGAAGATCACAGCGTGAATAAGTTTATGTAGGCCGGCGCTCATTTCATCTGAACTCTTTAACATCAGTCTGGGATCATAGGAATGTTTTTAGTAGCACCCCGTGGGCCGCCTTCGTGAACCTGTGGATGAAAATCCTGCAGGGTTTGGCTCTCGTCCACACCGTCTGATGGTCATTGTGCTCTGTCAGCAATTGCCAACTCTATTCAAGGCTCCTGTTTGCATGCACTGTAAAAAGACTATTGTTGAGTTCCACTTTGGTGCTGTAGACAATGATTGCCTTGACTTGTTTTGCTTATTTTTCCAAGACAAGAAAGCTGTCCAATGGGTTTCAGAAAGATATAGAAATGCTATAATCTAATCAGACGTCTTGATGCAATGCACATCAGTTTTATTAGAGGTATACTGTATTATACGAGCCATTTACCTCAGCTAGGACATTTCATTAGGAGCTGTAAAGTAATAAAACCTTCACCCCCTGACGGCATATACAATAACTGCATGGGTTTAAGGCTGTGCATGAAAAAATATACAAGTCTCTTCACAGAAAGTCTTATAAGTTTGTAGGAGGGACATGTCTGGACAAGATAGAAAAAACAAAAGTGGAGGGGGAGTAAGATTCTGTTGAGTGAAGTGATTCTATTGAACTGATTCCTTTAAATCATGTAAAGTGATTCGGTACTTTGCACTTTAAAAGGGATAATTCATTCAAATGACAGAAAGTCATATACGTTTGTGGGAGCGACATATCTGGACAAGATAGAAAACACTAAATTGGATGGGGGAGTCTTTTGAGTGAAGTGATTCTTTTAGACCGATTCATTTAAGTCATGTAAAGTGATTCTGTATGTTTGCATAAAGATAATTGGGATGCATAGGGATAATTTATTCAAATTACAGAAAGCCTCATAAGTTTGTGGGAGGGACATGTCTGGACAAGATTCTTTTAAGTGAATTGATTATTTTGGATGGTTGAGTCAATCGATTCATTCAAGTCATCTAAAGTGGTTCTGTATTAAAGGGATTGTTTATTCAAATGACAATTCAGAGTGTAGCCTGTAAAACATAATTTGATCAATTAGTTCTGACAGCATATGCTTTAGGTCATTGTAACTTATTAAACTAAGTTAATCATGTTCTAACTTAATTAGGTAAGTTATGCAAGCTGCTTTAAGTTAGTTTAACATAAGCTCAGTGGACTCATAAGGTTAATTTGATTCAGCTTAAAAAATTAAGGCAACCAGGAATTTTTTTTTACAGTGTAGGTGTAAATTATTGTTATTATTATTTAAATATGTAGAACATTAAAAATGATTTTTGGCTGAAACTGGGCAAGTCAACACCCAGCATGCCTTTTTTGTTTTTAAAAGATGTCTAATAGATGTCTAAACATAGTCATCTTGGCTAAAACAAGGCAAAATTTAGGCTGTCAGTGAAAATTTAATAGATGTCTAAGAATAGGCCAAAACTAGACTAGTCATCAAATAGACAGAAATCAATGCATACACATATAAAGTCTGTCTAATCTGTCTATTTGACAACTAGTCAAGTTTTAGGCAAGTCTTAGATGTCTAATAGATTTTCACTGACACCCCAAATTTAACCTTGTTTCAGCCAAGCTGTCTTTTTTAGATGTCTATTAAACACAAAATTGTTTGCTGGGAAGCTTCCAACAATTAGGGAGTTACTTAAAAACATATAAAAGCAAAACAAAATGGATTCCCATGGCTAGGCCCACACGAAATCTGCGGTGTAGAATTCCGCAGATTTTTAGATCATCATTGATTCTGTTTATTTACTTGTGTAATGTGTGTAAATTTATATTTATTCAGTTTTTTAAATTAAATTCAGTGATATTATTGACTAATATGAAAATATTTATATGATTGATTTACAATATAGCTTGTAAAGTAATATTTTCTGCCTTTTAGTAGATGTATTTAATGTTTACAATGCAAATCCAATTAGATCTATGTCTCTAGTATACTATAAGTTAAAAAGGTATTACTTTTTATTTAACTTATTAAGGTTTTAGTTATACTCCCAAAATCATTTCGCATAAATCCACAGATTTTTACCAAAATTCTGCGCAAAAATAGCAAAAAATGTCTGCAGATTCTGTCTGGCCCTACCCATGGCTCACGACACATTGAGATCTTATAAAGTAATACAACCAGTTTGTGCAAGATACAAATCATATTTTATGACTCCAAATCACAACAGTCCTAGCTACAAATCATATTTAAAGACCTACTTTAGAAAACAGGTCACATATAGATCATTTTGAGAGATGTAAACAATAACATTGTTCCTAATGTACTTCCTGTTTTACATTTAAATTTTCAATAGTTTCTGAGACTCATAAATGGTCCACGCATTGATAATAAATGTTATGACAGCTGTTTTAACGTTGAGATATGATTAAATTGCCTCTTGTTTCAGTTATTAAAATAGCTTGACAACAAGCTGGAAATAATCATGGGCCAATGGCATTACCATATTGAATTGGCCTGACGAGTGATTAAATCAGCAGCTAATTCAATTAGTTCAGGTGAACTTTCCCCATTTTGCTACTTTGAGACGATAAAACGATTCTGCAATAACAAGTTTACTTTGTTTATATGAGTGATAAATGTTGACAGTAGGTCACATTTGTTTTGTACGTGCCATACGTGATCTCAAACATGTTAGTTCTGTTACGTCAAATAAATGTCGAGTTTTGTTCTTGATCACGAATTATGCAGAAATACGAATTTCTGCTATTGTTAAAATATATATATCATCAGTATTACAAGCACTACTTTCCCCCATGTCACAGTTTTTGACACCCTTTCCATGAACGAAGTCATGAGCTGAGTGAATCACTGAATCGGCTCAAATGATCAGTTCACTGGAGAGTCGGCTCGAAAGAGGCCAGCAGAGGGGGGCGTGTCGCGCGCACGCTCATGCTGAAGTCGGACACTTGGAGAGCTTTGCGCACTGCGAACAGAGACACGGAGGATTACGGAGGAGTCTCATGTCCTCCTTCAGGTCCTGATCGTCCAAAGAAGAGCTGGACATGCCCAGACCAACACACCGTCTGTGACACCAGGATTCAGACCTTTACCTGGTTTAAGCTCGCCAGAATGAACGGAACCGCAGGCATCTGTAACCACTGCCGAAACACGATCAGAGAGAAGGTAAACGCTTTTCTCACTGTGTTTGTGCGTCTAAACTGTAATTCTACATCAGTTTGGGATTAATGATTAACATCTGTTCCTAAAACACTATTTTGATCATTATTGAAATGTATTAAAATGGTTGTACATAGAGTAGCAGTAGCTATATTTCTGGCGACTTAGTCATAGGCTATGCACACACACAAACATTTACATATATGTTTTATAATAATATATTAGTGCATAAACATTAAATTAGTAAGTATCAACGCCAAACTGGAACTAATCTAACAAGATAACTTAAGGATCACGATCCAAAAATAAACACACCCCAATTAATGTTGAGGAAAAATATATAAAATTATATTTTAATGAACACGAAAAATCAGGAGAAACTTATTTATAAGATTTTATATATATATATATATATATATATATATATATATATATATATATATATATATATATATATATATATATATATATATATATTTGTAGTTTATATGTTTTTGTCAATAATTGATTTAAATGTATTATCTTTCTATTTCTAAAGACGTTAGATGACCGTCTTTAACTAACTCTTTGATAAAACTGTTTTATTTAAGTAAAACTAGACTTATTGACTTTATTCACTGAGAAACTGATAGAAATATTCATTTTTAGAAGGGGGTGTACTCGTATATGCTGAAAAATATAATTTGCCAATGCACCATTTAAATGGATAGTTCACACAAAAATAATAAAACAATAATAATCACTCACTATGAAGTGGTTCCAACCATTATGAGTTAATTTTTTTTTTTAGTTGAACACAAAAGAAGATATTTTGAAGAATGCTACTTAAACAACTACAATGGATATTAGTGGTTACAGGTTTTCAGCATTCTTCAAAATATCTTCTTTTGTGTTAAACAGAAAAAAGAAACTATGAACAAGTGAAGGCTGAGTAAATGAGTAAAAGATGATAGAAATTAATATTTTTTATGAACCATGAATGTTTGTATAGCAAATTCAACTACAACGCTGCATAAAAAAGGAGTATAAGTTTGTTTCTGCATGTGTAGTCACTGAAAAAAAAAACATATATATATATATATATATATATATATATATATATGCTGCAATGTACAAAAGTAAGGGCAAATTATCTTTCTTTATATATATATATATATATATATATATATATATATATATATATATATATATATATATATATATATATATATGTATACACAGTGCTCTGCATATATGAGTGCACCCCTCACAAATCTATGCTTTAAATTTATATTTTTAATAGGAAGCTACACAATATTATATTTGTTCGTATACATTAGATTAATCAGTACTGAAGCCAAATCTGGATCTTATCTAACAAAATAACTTACAATAACTGTGTTTAAAAACTAGAACAGACAAATTTATGTTATAGAAAAATATTAAATACAATAATTTTCAATTTGTTAATATGATTGGTGACTAAAATATAATTTTAATAAATATCTCTTTAATAAATCTTTTTTTTTTTTTTGTAAATGCGCAAAAATACATGCCTATATTCACTGAGAAATGGATACAAATATCTATTTTTAATGTGGGGTGCACCCAATTATGCTGAGCATTGTGTGTGTGTGTGTGTGTGTGTGTGTGTGTAAGTGTGTAATGTATGTATGTATATAATACGAATTTACTGTAGGGCAGTTATGCAGTACATCAGTGTGTTTTAAAGTTACATTGTGAAAATTACTGTATATATTACAGTAAAGATATAAAATACTGTAAATACATATACAGCAAGATAAATGGAAATGGTGTTGTGAATGTAAACAGTATTTTTGCTGTAATTGATTTACAGTAAGTTACTGGATATATATATATATATATATATATATATATATATATATATATATATATATATATATATATATATATATATATATATATATATATATTTGAACTCAGAATTATTAGTCCCCCTTTGAATCGGTTTTCATTTTTAAATATTTCCCAAATGATGTTTAACAGAGCAAGGACATTTTCACAGTATGTCTGATAATATTTTTTTTCTTCCAGAGAAAGTGTTATTTGTTTTATGTCAGCTAGAATAAAAGCAGTTTTAAATTTTTTAAAAACCATTTTAAGGTCAAAATTATTAGCACTTTAAGCTATTATTTTTTCGATCTATAGAACAAACCATCGTTATACAATAATTTGCCTAATTACCCTAACCTGCCTAGTTAACTTAGTTAACCTAGTTAAGCCTTTAAATGTCACTTTAAGCTGTATAGAAGTGTCTTGAAAAAGATCTAGTAAAATATTATTTACTGTCATCATGGCGAAGATAAAATAAACCAGTTATTAGAAATGAGTTATTAAAACTATTATATTTAGAAATGTGTTGTTCTCTCTGTTAAACATAAACTTCAACTATATATACAGTACATTTATATATACACACACATACAGTAACACTTATACACACATATAGTATTGCCATTGCTTATTACACTATGCCTAATATTGCATAGTCAAGCCCGTAATTATTTATACCCCTGGAGTTGAACATTTAAAACAGTCAATAAGTCCTAAACGTATTTACACATACAGTCAAGTCCAAAATTATTCATACCCCTGTTGTTAAATACATTTTTAAAGACTTATTGACAGCTGCAAATCACTTACAGTAAATGCTAAGCGCTTCACACTGTGATTGTATCAGAGCCTGACAAGCTTAAGCGTAACCTCCACATCTCATCTCAAATCCTGCCGTCATCTTTCTCACTTTTTCTTTGGCTGGAAGACGTTATTTTTAGCTGTCATTAATCATGTCCAACACATGTGACCTACTTCTGCTCTGCACATCTCCCTTTTCACACACACCCAGCCAAACACTGCTCAAACTGGACTTTAATACAGACACACGAGCTGCTATTTATCAGACTGAACTATTGACTGAAGGGCTGTTTGTTTGATCTTCCGGTCTATAACTCCAGCCGCAAGCAAATACTGCCGGTTATGCTGTGGCTCTATGCAAACCTGTGTTTTTGAGTGTGTGCTCAGAGGAAGCCGGTTATGCGAGACTGGTTTGGGGGATTTGTGGTCAACTTTGTCATGTCAGCAGTTTTCTTCATTACCCTTTTCACTACTAGATTTCTCTCTTCAATATTAGCTAGGCTTTTTCTCACCTGCCGCTCTTCGAGGTTGTGATCATGCAGTTCAAAATCATCACAGTCTTACACTGACTAAGGAAAAAAGAGAAAAGAACTAGGGTATTCATAATTAGAGACAAATTAGGAAACAAAAATGACTGTGTGCATTAAAGGGATGATTCACAAAAGTTGCTAAATTGGTCATTATTAACTTATTGTCTTAAAAATTGATAGAGAATATTATTAGAAGACAAAAATAATAGATTAACTCTGTTAAATCTGTTAAATCTGGCTCCAGACACCTCTCCATGCTAATTTTGAGTGTTTTTGTTTGTTTGATTTAATGATAACCTATGGACCAAAGGTCAACCAGGTGGTTACAGTGCCTGTTAAAGGGTTAAAACAAGGGTTTTCTAATTATTTAGACCAATTGAATTTTTGTAAAGTCATCTGAAACATCTATTAACAAAAGCGGACTTCAAGATTTTACAGAAAAGTATATTGACCTTATTCTAAAATGCGGAAGTGCGCCTGTTATCGCGATTGTCTTAGAACTTCCGATTCAGTCGCCTTTGGGAGAAAAGACTAGGAATAATAAACGGCAGAAAATGGTCAAACTGCTTGCTCTACAAACATATTTTTGCATGACTTTACAGACAAAGTAGAATAATATAATAAAAAATATCAAATTGCAACATCAAGCAGCGTAACGAGCAGTTTTTACGCCAGAAAATGAATGGAATTAAATGAGACCGGAAGTCTTGAGCCAAAAAGATTTAAATGGCAGCGCCCGCTCGTCGGCGGAGAATAAGGTGAATAAAAGCAAGCACTGTTACCACTAAATAAATGAGGAAGCCTCAATTTCTAGTAAAATAAAAGTTATTAATTTTCATTCAAGTAAATATTTAATTAAGTTTTTTCTTGTCGTAATTTAAGAAAAATGTCATCTGATGTATACCAAAGTCCCTTCAAGGCAAGTCATTTACTCGGCGGCTGCTTATGGTCCGGCACAGCCTTTGAGCGGTCGCAAAGCCCTCGCCGTGGCTGATGTCGATGCGCACCTTCTAAAAATTTGACAATAAGCATCAATGACGTGTAGCGCAAGCTCTGTGATTGGTCGGCTTGGTTGTGGTTACAAGTGTGGGTGGTGCTGAGAGTCGTTATACAAGTGTTGAGTCCCATATAGGAGCTCCAGATGGAAACTTTTGTTTTGTGTTTACCTTATGATTTAAGTTTTTGCACGTCCGCCGGTTCCCACCACTGAATAAGCGAGTTCTATCTATTTGTAGCATTTAGCAAAAACAAAACACCCGTGATGAAACTAAGAGGAGTATAAAAACCTACTGCCAGCTAGTGTTATGAAAGTGTTATTGCAGAGCAACACAAACAAGTATAAATGCACAGCACGGCACTCGATGCAGAAGTATAAATCAGTCTTTAGTCACGTAGGTGTAATGTTCACTACGCCCCACAGACTTCCATTTATATGCATGGAAATGCGGCAGACCGGAAACACAAGCCTGTGCGACAAGTTTCGCAGTTCGCCACTTTGCAAAGTTCAAGCTTGGTGAACTCTGACCTGCAAAATTTAATCACATGATTGAGTGAGACCAATCAAAAATCAAAACATGATCTCTCTGGACAGAAATTTAAAATGTGGACCAATCGCTCGCTTTTTTAAATGTCTAATCATCTTGTTTAATCCAGCCCCTCTTCACATGCCGTACCACAGAATTTTGCATGTTCGAACTCTAGTGTGACTGCGGCATTAGTTTATATATTAATAAATAATTTAGTGCAGCTTCTTCTAAATCACAAAAATAAAATATTCTAGGTTGTTTTAACCCAACGTTGGGTAAAATATAGACTAACCGA